AGCAGCAGCAGCAGCAGCAGCAGATAGGCAGCCGGGCAGATCCATCGGGCATCGGATGCCAAGCGAGCGACGGCAGCGTCATGGATTCCCAACGCAGGTGGAGTTTCAAAAAGCCAAAAAGCTGGGCGGGCGGCTGGCTGCCTGCAGCTTGGACTTCTTTTTTTTTTGGCTCGAGAAATAGGATCGCTGGGCCCCACACGCGCAGCGCAACGCAACTCAGCCCCGAAACGACCTCAGTGAGCAAAGGCCCGCTCGGTCCACGCTTATTCGCTCAAGCCTTGCACGCACGCACATCACACCGCATCAGCCCCGACCACGCTCTCGCTGCTCGCTGCTCGCTGCTCCTTTGGCGCGCTTGGCCCACTCACCCGCTCACTCCCATCCAGACGGCTCAGCTGCTCGGGCCGCGCCTCCACCCAAGACATCATCCTCTCCCGCTCTCTCCCCTTGCTTTCAGCCCGCTCATCCAGCCCCTCGGCGCCACCTGAACACACCCCCCATCTCTCTTGCTCTTGACGCCACCATCCTATCCCTCCTCCCCTCCTCCCTCCCTCCCCACCACCTTCCATCCCGTCGCTACACGTCATCGTAGCCAAGTCGTCACCATGCCCAAGCTCGCAAGTGTCGAGATCGACACCCCCGCCAACAAGGGCGAGACCAAGATCAGGCGCTCCTACCGCGCGCCTGACAAGCTCCTCGAACGCCCCGCAGAGGGCATCAACACCATGGCCGATGTCTTCCTCCACGCGCGCGACCGTAAGTGTCTTCCTTCGCCCACCTCGCCCAACATTCTCTTCACACTTTTGCTGACTCTTTCTTTTATTTTTTGGTCTTCACAGGCTTCCCCAACCGTCCCATCATGGGCTGGCGCGACGTCGTCCGCATGCACGACGAGCAGAAGGAGGTCACCAAGAAGGTCGAGGGCAAGGAGGTCAAGGAAACCAAGACCTGGCAGTACTACGAACTCTCCAACTACAAGTACCTCACCTACAACGAATTTGAAGAGCGCATCCAGCACGCCTCGAGCGGTCTCGTCAACCTCGGCCTCTCCAAAGACACCCGCTTCAACATTTACGCCGCCACCGCCATCAACTGGCAGAACATGGCACACGCCTGCTTCCGCCAGAGCATCCCCTTCTGCACCGCCTACGAGACCCTCGGCGAGGAGGGCCTCCAGCACTCGCTCAGCGAGCCCGACGTCGTCGGCGTCTTCACCAACGCAGAGCTCCTCCCCACCCTCGCCAACGTCATCGAAGACGCCCCCACCGTAAAGTACGTCATCTACGACGGCAAGCCAGGCGACAAGGAACTCAACAAGGTGCGCGACGTGCTCACCGGTCGCGAGGGTAAGCTGCTCACTATCGAGGAGCTATGGCAAGAGGGCAAGGCCAACCCCGCCGAGGGCCATCTCCCCACCCGCGACGACGTCGCCTGCATCATGTACACCTCCGGCTCCACCGGCGCACCCAAGGGTGTCGTGCTCACCCACGGCAACCTCGTCGCCTCGATCGCCGCCGTCGAGCTCCACGTCGGCGACCTGCTCAAGCCCGACGACACCTTCCTCGCCTACCTCCCGCTCGCCCACATCCTCGAGTTCATCGTCGAGTGCACCATGATCTACGTCGGCGTCACCATGGGCTACGGCAAGGTCAAGACGCTCACCCAGGCATCCGTGCGCCACTGCGACGGCGACATCAAGGCGTTCAAGCCGAGCATCATGATCGGCGTGCCCGCCGTCTGGGAGCTCATCCGCAAGGGCATCCTCTCCAAGGTCAACGCCGGCGGCGCCATCAAGAAGAACCTCTTCAACGGCGCGCTCACCATCAAGAAGAACAAGGTGCCTCTGCTCACCTCGGTCGTCGACTCGGTCGTCTTCAAGGCGGTCAAGGACCAGACCGGCGGTCGTCTGCGCATCGCGCTCTCGGGCGGTGCTGCGCTGTCCAAGGAGACGCAAGAGTTCCTCAACAATGCGCTCGTGCTGCTCCTCCAGGGCTACGGCCTGACCGAGTCGTGCGGCATGACGGCCATCCTGACGCCCGAGTTCTACTCGTACGGCCCCTCGGGCGGCACCGTGCCTGCGATCGAGGTCAAGCTGCGCGACGTGCCGGACGCCGGCTACTTTAGCACCAACAACCCGCCGCAGGGTGAGGTGCTCATCCGCGGACCTGCGGTGACCAAGGGCTACTTTAAGCGCGACGATGTCAACAAGGAGTCGTTCGAGGACGGCTGGTTCCTCACAGGCGACGTGGGTCAGTGGAACTCCAACGGCACGCTGTCGATCATTGACCGCAAGAAGAACTTAGTCAAGCTGTCGGGCGGCGAGTACATTGCGATCGAGAGGCTCGAGAGCGTGTACAAGGCGTCGAACCTGGTGTCGAACATCTGCGTGCATGCCAACAGCGACGCCAAGCAGCCCATGGCGATCATCTTCCCGCGCGAGGACAATCTGGTGCAGGCTGCGCAGCGCGCCGGCGTCAGCGGCGAGCTCGAAGAGCTGTGTGCCAACCGTCAGGTGGCCAAGCTCGTCATGGACGACGTGAACGGCGTCGGCAAGAAGGCGGGCTTCAAGAACCTCGAGATGCTCCAGACCGTGCTGCTCGTGCCCGAGGAGCTCGCCATGACCGCAGCGCAGAAGCTCAGCAGGAAGGACATCATCAAGAAGTACGAAGACCAGATCAAGAAGGTCTACATGTAACACAAGACTCGTCCAAGGATCCATCAATACCCCACCCGCCGTCGTCGTCTGCCCGCGCCGCAGAGAGAATCCGTACATGCTGCGCTCGTTTCTTTGTTTCAGATGTGTCTCTTTGACCCCCCGGCAAGCTCGCTAGTAAGCTCATTTGTCAAATTCAGTGCTGCTCGGATCCTTGGATGGTTGAGCATGTGCGAAGAATCTGAGGTGAGGTCTTGACAGGAGAGCGTTGCATTCTCGCTCATCCCTCGCGCACACATGCGCGCTTTCACAACTGCCACTTGAACCACACGTGTGACCGTCGAATCGGAAAAAGAGACATGGCATTGGCATCTAGTCGTCGTCGTCGCTCTCTTCATCGTCTTCGCTATCCTCGTGGCCCTCCATGACGTCGATTGGTTCGATGTTGACCTCGCGGTCGGCGCCGAGGTACGAGTCGCAGACCAACCACATCTTGAGGCGGTCGTGTCTTCCCTGTGGCAGCGTGACCTCGAGGTCCAGCTGTACCGTCTTGCGGACAGTGACCTTTTTAATCGCGAGCAGATTCTTTGTCGCAGGATCGCCGATCACCACCCACCACTGCACCAGCTTGCGTGCGGGGTAGAAGGCGCTTTGAACCACCAGCGCCTCTTCGTCGTCTTCGTCGTCCTTGTCGAGCGTGACGCGCACGGTGATGGGGTCCGAGGCGTTCATCTCGTCGCGCGGCGTCTCGATGCTGTAGCTCAGCTCGATGTAGGGGAAGGCATTGACAAACGCCGCCACGCGTGCGGTTTGCTTCTTGTCCATCTGCAGCACTTCGTCGCGTTCCACCTCGGACAGATCCGCAAGCAAGTCCGACAGCCCGAATACATCCTCGACCCCACGCGCGCGACAGCGCTCAATCACCTCGGCACTAAAGTGCGGCACCTGACGCAGAACCGAGTCCTTATCCCATACCGCCTGAACCACCATCTGCGACAGCTCCATCGCCACAATCGCATTCAGGTACGCGTTGGACGACATGACGTCCACACACGCCGAGAGCAGGTTGAGCACCTTACCCAGCACGATACGCTGGTCCGCCTCCAAGTCCACCGGTAGCGTCAGCCGAGCAAAGTGCGCCTGCAGCAGGATATACACCTTGTGGTACGGACTCAGCAGATTGAGCCGATCCAGCTTGAGCGGCAGCCGATCGTACAGCCGCTGCAGCAGCACATCCTCGTGCTGACGAATCGGCAGATCCTCGAACTCGGCCGCCGAGCTGACGATCTCGAGCATGCCTCGCAGCTTGGTCTTGTCCTTGAGCGACATGTTGAACACATCGATCGTGACGTAGCTCACGTTGTAGTAGCTCGCGATCATGCCCAGATTCAGCGGGCTCACGTCCATCTCGTCCTCGATGGCGATGCACTTGGAGTTCTCCAGATCCGCCAGCGTCGTCTCCACCAGCTCGGACAAGTAGTCGCCAATGTGCTGCATGCTCTTGCCCTGGCAGTTGTACGCCTGCGGATTCTGCTGCAGACGCCGGTACATCAGCGTCCACGTCAGAATGTCCACCGCTGCCTGCTTGTCGTCGATGGTGCGCGCGACGATCTCGGCGTTGAAAAAGTCCTGCGCATAGCTCGTCAGCCGGCTCTCCACGGGCAGGCCCTCGGCGAGGAACTTTTTAAAGTACTCCTTGCGCGTCGCCTGGCACAGCAGCACGCAGCGCGACGTGCCCTCGTCGTTGGGCACCGTGCATCGTCCGACCATCTGGAGCACGTCCGGCAGCGCATAGTCCACATAGCGGTGCTCGCGGCCCTCGTACGTCTGCAGCGACATGATGAGCACCAGATGCGCCGTCAGCGGGATGCTCCACGCCGTCTCCTTGCTCGCCACCACCACGCGGATCGCATCCGCTGCGAAGAGCCGCTCCACAATGCGTCGGTCGTTCTTGGTGAGCCCCTCGTGGTAGTAGGCGATGCCCGAGGCGAGCAGCTCGCGCAGATCGCGGTCCTGCACGCGCTGCAGATGCGGCTTCAGATCCTCCATCTCGATGTTGAGAAAGCGCGATTCGCCGTCGTCGCTCGAGCTGTCGTCGCGCTCGCTGTCGGCGAGCACGTACGCGAGCAGGTCGTTGGCAGTCAGCTTGGCCTGCTTGCGCGAGGGCACGAATGCAATCACCGGCTGGTCGGGCGCATGCTCAATGATGGCAAGGTACGCCGGCTTGGCCATGGCGATCATCATGGACGGGAAGTGCGGCATGCTGAACGTCTGGATGTGCACCTCCATCGGCGTCTGACGCGCGCTCGGCGCAAAGTTGAACACGCTTCCGCTTGGCGCTCCGAGCCAGTCGCCGACGTCGCGCGCGTTTGCGAGCGGCACACTGAGCGCCACCATGCGCGTTTGACTCCCGGTCTGCGCGGCGACGAACCGCGCGCGCGAAGCGACAATCTCGTACGTCGGCCCCACGCGCCAGTCTCCGATCATGTGGATCTCGTCAAAGATGTACAGCGCGACCGACTGCACGTTCTTGCGCTGGCGCCAGCGGCGCGACAGAACGTCCCAGTGCTCCGGGATCGTCACGACCACGTCCGCCATTTCGAGCAGACGAAGGTCCGCACTCGTCTCGCCGGTCAGCGCGACGACCTCCTTGCCGTCCTGGTACTCGCCGAACTTGGTCCTCCACTCGGCCACACGCGGTGCGACCATGGACTCGTACGGCACGACGCACACGGCGCGGCCCGCATCCGCATCCGCATCCTTCCACAGCCGGAGCAGCGCAAGCTCGGCACAGACCGTCTTGCCGCTGCCCGTGGGTGCACCGACAAACACCGAGTCGTCGCTGCCGTAGAGTGCATGGAACGTCTGCGTCTGCACCTTGTTGAAGTGCGCAAACGAGTCGCGGTAGAGCTCCTGTGCGGGTCGTTCGTTGAGTGCACTCACCGGCTGCGGCTGCAGCTCGAGCAGCGGCGTGTGCGGCGGGAACTTTTCGGGCAGGATGAGGTTCTTGAACGAGATGGGCAGTCGCACCTCGCTGTGCAGCCAGCGATCGCTTACGACGCTGATGTAGTAGTTGGGCGGCAGCGGCTCCGTCATGGGGATCGTGAAGCTGACGGTATGCTCCTCCTCGGCATACTTGCGTAGCAGGAGGAATTGGTCGTGGTAGTGCAGGATCTCGGCATCGACGTCCTCCACCATGATCCAGAACGACTGAGCGCCGCCGTGCACCTTTTCGTCCCACTGGAAGTCGGGAGTGATGGTGAGCTGAACGTGAAGGAGGGAGCGGGTGAGCGGCTGGAAGAAGGCCTGCAGCTCGAGACGCGGGAATTGATGCACGAGTCGGTGCACCAGACGGCCCGCTTTTGGAATTCCAATAAGCTCGCCGATCTCGTTTGGCTCGAGATCCCGCAGCCGACTCCACGGATACTCTTTCCGCTCGAGTCTGCGGATCAGATCCGCAGGCACGCCGCGGAACTGGCGCAGCGGCGTCATGGAGCCCCACTGGCGCGACTCGACCATCTTGCACAGATCCAGCGCCATCCGGCTGAGCCTCGCATAACCACGCTTTAGGCAGATCTCAAAGATGGCGCGAAGGATGCGGCCGGCGGACTGGGTGATGTACACCATGTCGGCCGCAAGCACGTATCCGTCCAGCCGGAGCTGCGAGATCCACGACTGGAGCAGCACGTTGACCTTGGCGATGGGGTCGTCGGCCGACTCCTTGACGGGCACAGGCACGCGTTCGAGCAGCTTGGCGACCTCGAGCTTCTCGTCCTGGCGCACCACCTGGTGGCGGAACTCGTTGGAGAGCGCAAAGACGCGGAAGAGCTCGATGAGGCCGAGCTGCGGCTTGATCTGCTGGTGGTACGTCGCCATGCTGTCGTGGGTGATGTAGTAGTGCGATGCGATGCGGCCGAGCTCGTTCGAGACAAAGTTGCCGCTGCGGCGTTCGTAGCGCAGCAGGCCGCACTTTTCGAGCAGGGCCGCGGCGGTGTGCACAATGTCGGCGCGCTTCTGCTCGAGGAAGGGATCGTCTTCGGCGTAGTCTGCGGTGACGCTGTAGAGTGCGGGCGAGCGCAGCATGCGCACGTACAGATACGTGTATCCCAGCCATGCGACGGCCTCGTCGCGGTTGCGGATGG